TTTTACAAGGCAGCGCAAACTACGGATATATTGCTGCCACCATGTACACAAAATTGAACGCAATGAAACAGTAGTGTTATCTTACAATCGAACGCAATCAAACAGTAGTGTTATCGTACAAGTGAACCCTATCAATACCCCACTGCACATCAATAGACATGTAAAGCAATAATGGAGACTACTGAGGCTTAGCAATTTCCATAATTTTGTCTCTGAATCTGCAAGTTGCAACGAGATATACACTGAACCTTGCAGACGCAACTACATATCCAGTGAACCATTGACGTACGCTTCAGGTTGAAAATTAATTAAGGCCTCTTGATAGATATGCATGCCTTATTCCTTTGTTGCCAAACATAGCAGTGCAGAGAGCATTCCCTGCTAGCTGTGGAGCTTAATAAGGGAGTTGTGATTGTGAAGAGATTTCTTTATCTTAAGCTTCCTGATCATAAGTCTTGTCAAGAGAATTGAGCAGGAATAGGAATACATGCTTTGTGTTTATGGGATATATTAGAATTAGTTTGGTGCAGAAGCAAAACACCAATTGGCATATATGGCCACATGTTTCTACAGCTGCCTGCATTACACGTTTTATGTATATTCATATCAGGTATCAGCAATAGTAAAATTCCATTTTGATGTTGCGTCGGTACCCTCTTTCAACTTTAGTGGAAAAGTCTGTTCAAATTAGCTAGCTAATGACTGAACTGTGTTTACTGCTTAGATATGCCATCTCACCTGACTGACTCTGTTTGATCCTAAAATGGTCTATATATCTGACCACCAGCAAGCAGCTTAAAAAATTGAACAAATTAAATGCTTATATACACGTTTCAGCAATCTCCCAGGCCACACAAATAGAGTACTTTGCCTTAGCAAAAAGTATCCATATAAAATGGACAACACACATGCAATATTCCAATATCGTTACTTCCACGTGAGACACTGGGAATTGACTTGGATATCACTGTGAAGAGAAAACATAATACTCATAGCTTACCCGAAGAAAGAAAACAGGGCAAGATCGTTTTTTGAGCTGTGTTTGTACGAGGAAAGACCGAGTCCATTAGTAATGGTAGGACTCTGGGGTTCTAGATTTAATTTGCCACAAAAATTGGCATACTTCTATGCCCAGTTATTTAGCCAAACACAAGCATTAATTGGAAATGCTAATGACACATTCCGTGTGAAAATTGCTAATGTCACCATCGCCAAATTCAACACAAAACATGCTGTTTGGCCCACATTTTGACACCTAAAACATGCCTAAGAGATTAGACATTTTTTTTTAGAAAGTTAGGTATGGAATTTAAACCACATCGAGATAATCACAACGTCACAAGAATGTTCTCAAGAGATTAAACAATTAATAAGTTGATCAACATGGTAAACATTAATTTCAGCTGGTTATACCTTATATATCTTTACTTTCGGAAAACAAAAAACTTGTTCGCCTTCTCATCATCGCCCACCAAGTTGTCATTCTCAATTCGTAGATTATCGATGTCATATCACAAGAAAAGATAATAGAATGAAAGCTAATTATTCCATAGATGTGATTTATTAATAGAGACTAATTCTTATTCTTGAAGTGTGGTTATGGGATATACTTATAACCACTAATTAAAAAGTTAGGGTCATTTAATTTTTTAAATATTATTGGTTAAAATATTGATTTTGTCTTTTTAGTTATTAAAATAACTAGTAATTATAATTATTAGTTAATAATTAATAATTATTATTTAATATACTAAAATTAACTTATATATAAATATTTTTAAATATTATAACTATTTATTTATAAAAGTATTAAAATATTAATAACCTTAACAATTTAATAAGTGACCATACCCTGGTGTGGTAATGGTCATACACTAAAAGTGTTAAGATCATACACTAAAAGTGTTAAGACTATGTAAATTTTATTTTTTTTATAAATAATTAATTATAATATTTGAAAATATTTGTGTATATCTTGATTTTGATTTGTTAAGTAATAAATATTATTTATTTTATTATTTATCAAATAATAATAATAATAAGTTATTTTTAATAATTAAATCAAATAAAAATAATATTTAAAAATTTATTAACCTTGATAATTTATTATGTGGCTATAATTATATCCTTATTTTAACAAAAAATTTTGAAAACAAAATCGTTCTTCGGCCCAAAATTCAAAACAGGCACTACCACAGCTTTATTAACTGTTATAATTGTAGTCAACCAGTTAAGGTTACATAAATTACTAAATTTTTATTTTAATTTAATTAATCATTAATAAAAAAATTAATACTTATTATTTAATAAATTAAAATTTTTGAATATGGTAGCTAATTATTTTAAAAAATTATAAAGTAATAAAATTACAATTAAAAGGTATAACCTTAACAAAATCATAGCAATAACCATAGCCTTATTATCCCTTTACTCACCATGACTTCGGTCATTTTACTATACATTTTAGTACCATAGTCCTGTAATACTCAACATAAATTATTGCAGATTGAATTATTGACTCCAAAGTCAAACATGGTAGTATTGATTTACTATGGATAGGATCATGAGATATGACTGAAAACTTTTTAGTTTCCTTATTGGAACAGTGATATAAGAATAGTTTTTTTACATAATTTTTTAATATAATTTTTAAATATTATTAAATAAGTAAATTTATTTAATATTATTATGGGTCCTAAATAAATAAAAATAACTAATTATTTAAATGACATATAAAATTATG